AAGGTCCTTTGAGTTAAATTATAGTGAAGAACACTGATGCAGATGATTGACCTGCTGCACTTGTTGACCCAATATAATACTGTGGACAGTATCACACAGTCTGATTGGATGCTACCTGCCCAGTGGTAATTGGAAGGAAATTAGTACATAGCTGTGAAACACAAGGAAGACCAAACAGAGACAGATATTCTTCTTCTTTCAAATCAAAGCTCAAAGCACCACTAAATGTTGCCCCAAACCAGGGTTCAAAGAAAGATCTAGCTAATTAAACCAAACCAGGACTAAGGAAGTTCTGGCCATTTTGGTGCCCTGGACCAGAACTCCTTTGGCCCCACTAGAAATGTCATCAACAATACATCTGTCAATCAGTGTCTGAACGGCAGCAGTTGGCAGCTGTGCAAAGGAGGTCATCTGTGCCCGCTGGACTCCTGAAGCAGCAGACAGGTATCCTGAGAACGGAAGGTCAGCTGCTTCTTGGATCACAAGGACAACTTTGTAGGTGGAAGAACTTTTGGTTGGCCTCAAAGAGATTCTGGCAAACCATCAGACAACTCAGGAGAGGGAGGCAGAGATCAGCCGGGTGGTTTCCAGCTGGGGAGGAGAACTGCTTACCCGGACCGAGGGTACTATTGGACGGTGGTACATATTTTAAAATAGGGACCGGAGGGTGGGCTCTGGGAAAAAGCTTCTTTTCTGGGAACGTTTTTTCCAGGATGCTGGAAGCTCTGTTGGACCTCTAATGCAGTGGACCAGATATTGGGTGTTTGGCCTTCCAGTCTACATGTGTTCTGTGGACATGGAGATGTGTAACTAACCTCGGTATCTTATGAGCAGTACTGCAGCAGTGTGGAGAACCAGGGACATTACAACCAGCCATTGAGTCCCTGTGTAATCTGATGAGAGCTGTTTCTCGGCAGGAAGTCGAGAATGTTCTCATGGTTTAGTTTTAGATTAAGTCAATTAAAGCTATTTATCTGGTTATTTTAGTTTGACTCATAGAACTGTATCTATAACCCCATCAGGTGGCCCCAATCCTGGTCTGAGTCCTTTAATATTGAGTATTTGTTGGTAGCGAGTCCAATCTGATAGAGTAGCAGAGGAAAGTCTCCTCCCCCGCTCCTCCCCCGCCCACTTTCCCTCTGCGCTCCAAGTGGCCTCCGTGCGACGTATGCTGTTACGTCATACCTAAGTAAAATATGATACTAAGTGAACGAGAGGAAGTGGAACTACTAATGAAACGCAGCCTGAGTGTTTCCCGCTGTGTGAGGGACAGTAACATTACAAGGGTGGCCATTCGTCCGGCTTTTAAACCCCCTGTCTTAAGCCGGACACTCATTTGTCCTCCTTTTGAGAAAATAACTAAAAATGACGCCTTTTGACACATTACCTCGTTAGTTTAATACTTATTGGCTAAAAATGTGTGTCAAAATAAGTAATTTCATTGGTTACATTTTCGTGTCCTGACCTATCAACATATGGCTAATTTTAATATTCAAATGAGCCATGTGTTGATTCGCCACGCAGTTGCTAAGTTACCACCATGCTGTCAATCAAGCTCTCAGACAGAGAACATAACGTGAGCTAACGTCGGTTGTTGGACTGAAATTCTGAAAATGCTCATACTCATATGTATAGGCAAAGCCCTTTATTCCCAGATAAAAACATTAAGAACAGTTTCTGTATGATGGTTATTAGACCTATGTAATCTGAATTGGAAGGGCACGTTGTCATGAGCTGTATCTTGTATATTTATTATTAGCTATTTGGTATGTGTATGCACCTTTATGTAATCTGGAAAAACATTAAAATTTTAAACCGGATCATACCAAACAAATATCTGCTTGCGTGTCCCTGTGTATGCAAAGTGTCCTCCTTTTTGATGTGAAGGAAATGGCCACCCTAAACATTACTGTAGTCAGACTTACAGTGTGGAATAAGTTCAGGTTGCAGTAGAATAGTCAGTGAAAGGCTGTGTGTGTGTTTGCTGCCTCAGAAATAAAGTTTATGGAACGTTAACGTTCCTACGGTGTCTTCTTGTTCACAGCTGAGTAGCCCCACACTGAGGACAGATAGTTAGCTATCAGCAGATATACTGGAGGCAAAACGTTTCAGAAACCACACGCGATCAGATGATTGATCCCTTATGATTACTAACTTTCTATTGCTCTCTTTCCACAGCGACGTTGTGCTCTTGTGCTCGGCTAGTTTCCAAAAGACACTGTACAGAGTTTGCATTTTGTTTTCTGATTGAAATGGTCACAAACTTGGGACACTTTCTGTCTCTTCTCTTCCCCCCTCGTTATTTTCTCTCTCCAAAGCGCGTTGTGTGACAATCTGTACAACACACAGTATGGCTGTGTGTACTTATATCTTATATACTTATATATTTTTGTCACATGATTGTCTTTCTTTAAACTCAGTGACGATATCTTTTGACCAGTTGCTCTTGAAGGACACACAGCTGGGTTCAGGTCCAGGTTCAGGTCCAGATTCAGGTCCAGGTTCAGGTCCCCACAGAGTCCTTTTAGAGGGAGGGGCTCCCTCCTCTCTGTCCTCACACTGACTCATGTTGCTGAACTCACATCCACATCAGCTCACACACACTTTGATCTGGAGAGGAAACACAAATCATTGATGTGCACATCAACTGAAATCATCCTTTCCATCATTTCTCCTGTAAGAAGATCAGCTGCTCCTCCAGTGATTGGCTCTTATTTTCTCTTTCATATCAGTGTCAGTTGAATGCAGTCAGACAGCAGTGTGAGGCAGAGGAAGCTGCCATCAGCTGCTGGACTTCTACTATCAGTCCACTAGATGGCGGCATGAAGCTGCAGCCAGTGGAGGAAAGTAACTAAGTACATTTACTCAACTACTGTACTTTAGTACAATTCCTATTTCCACTGTATGCTACTTTATACTGGAGTTACTGTGCAGATGGAGCTTATGAATCCAATATAGAATCAATAATCAATGATGATGTGTTATTCTAGATGAAGTTATCCAGCAGTATATAAAGTCATTCATGTTGCTGCTTTTATTCTATGTGAACCTGTGTGAGCCACGTCAACCACTAATGTGACAATAAAGTTTTCCTGATGTTCATTTCTAATGGAATCATCCTGCAGTTCACTTTGGCACCAGCAGATGGCGCCACATGATTTCTAAAGACAAGTGGAGGAAGATGGCAGTCAACAACGAGCAGTGAACTTTGTGTGTGTGTGTCTCTATTTCCTCTGTAATGAGACCAAAATGACACTTTGTTCTCCAGGAAACTTTACAGGAATTATTATGAAATTATGAAGAAGTCAAAATCTCTGTCTGGTTCACACTTTGTCTCATGAACGCAGCACGAGGGACTTTCCAACTGCCCACGGGCCCTGACTGCAGCGTGATGAGGCTGCAGTCTTTTTTGAATCAAACTTTATTGTTAAAGTCAGAAGGTGAACAGTGCCGTGCAGCAGGCCTGTGTACCAGAGCTCATCAATAACATCCAATCAGGGAAGTAGTACTACAACAAGTACTCCAACTATTAGTAGCACACTGAGAAAATACTGTGTTCACAGTTTGACTCAAAGTACAAACTGTTGATTTGAAGGACTTTAGACACTGCTGGAGACTTTGATCTGTAATGTTCAAATAATGTGATAAAGTAAGAAGCTGTCAGATACATGTAGTGAAGTATAAAGTATGAAGTATTGTACAGTTGTTCTGTTTGCACTGTAAACAATCAGAGATAGAATCAGTGAGCAGAGCAGCTCAAACTGCGTTATTGTTACAGTCTGATCCATTCAAAGATAGCAGTGCTGGAACAAGTGATTGAGTTCAGTAAAAGTACTGACACACTGTACAAATACTCCATTACACTTATTCTATTACTCTATCATAAACAGTACTATAATGTTGGAGCCTCTTTGAACTGTTTTAAAAGTGTCTGTGTTCAACTACTGAGCATCAACGGACTCTACTTGGACTCTTATTTTACTGTACACTCACTAACAGACACATAAAATGGCGGACAGATATTGGCCTGTTTTTAATAACGGTTGTTTGAGCTGCTTCGTCCCGAGTTTCCAGCAGAGAAATGAACAATGGAGGCAGATTGTTGCTGTTTCTAGCGACACTCCTTCAGAGAAAGTGAAAGTAAACTTTAAACAGGCAGTAGAAGGAGAAACTGCAGCTCATTCTCTTCTGAAAGAGTTTAAAGGGGGCAGAGAACAAGCTGCTCTCGTCTGAATATCGTTTATAAAGAATCCCAACAGTGTCTTTATTCTGAAAATAAAACATGTTCATTATGAGTAAAAAGTTGTAATAAAGTGTGGAAGCGTAGTTGACACCCTCTGAGCCTCACTGCAGTGTATTATTATCTACTATAATATAATGAGTGGGTAGGAACTGTGTGCAGTTGGACCTCTCACCAGGAGCACCCCCAACAGTGACCTCCAGGGTCCCTGCGGGGGGTTTGAGGCCACAACGGGACAGCCGAGATTAGGCGCTGACCCTGGGGACAGACCTCACCGATCTCCTGGGGCCATAATTCTGCTCGGGGGCCCTCGGACCCAAAATCACTTTACTTATACAACCTTTCATACAAACAGCAAATTCATCACTAACGCAAAAACAATCGAATATGAATGTATAAAATAATTAGTAGTAATAAAGTATAGTATTAATCCTAATATTAGTGTTAGTACTACTACTCTGTTATAGGGGACCAACTAATACTGGTTCAAAGGTTTCAATCCGGTCTAACATTATTACAGAATATAAACAGACTCTACAACACCTGATCAATGTTGTAGTTTCTGGTTTATTTTTTTCAAATTTCAAATTACCATCATACCATAGTTTAGTTTTTATCATAGTTTTTATATCTGTATTTATTTATTTCAAGTAATTGCTGCTGTGACAAGGAAATTTCCCCGTTGTGGGATTAATAGAGAAATACAAAAGTCCAATATAATCTTTATTGTTCACACTCCCGGACAGAAGGGGGCAGCATACACCTTTCTAACCGCGTCCGTCCGCTTCAGATCCGGTGTGAGAGCAGCAGCAGAGCCTGTATATCTATATCTATATTTATATATATCTATATCTGTATCTATCTGTATCTATCTCTATATATATAACGTTATATATATGTCTGTGTGTGTGCTTTAACTGGACTCTCACTTCCTGTTGATGCTAAAGGAGGTTAGCCTAGCGTGCTAGCAGGACGCAGACGGAGCCGGAACCGGAACCGGAACCGGGCCTCACAGCGGGTCGGAGCAGCTTCCATAGAGACCAAACTGTCTCTCACGGAGACCAAATGTCCCAAAGTCCAGAAGGATCCGCGTGAACAGAGTCTGCCAGCGGTTACCATGACAACGATCTCCCGCCGCCACAGCGAGCTAATGCACTTAGCTTAGCTTGCTAGCAGGAAATAGACGGAGCCGAAGGTGTAACGGAGTGTGTGTGTGGAGGAGCAGCTGCTGTCAATGAGAGACAATGTCACACACACTACTGGACGCTGTTCACACTGCAGGTTGGTTCCACACACTGATAAATCACGCTGATCATATCACTGCTGATCAATATCTGCTACAATATCTGCTGATCATATCACTGCTGATCAATATCACTGCTGATCCATATCACTGCTGATCAATATCACTGCTGATCCATATCACTGCTGATCCATATCACTGCTGATCAATATCACTGCTGATCCATATCACTGCTGATCAATATCACTGCTGATCAATATCACTGCTGATCCATATCACTGCTGATCCATATCACTGCTGATCAATATCACTGCTGATCCATATCACTGCTGATCAATATCACTGCTGATCAATATCACTGCTGATCCATATCACTGCTGATCCATATCACTGCTGATCAATATCACTGCTGATCCATATCACTGCTGATCAATATCACTGCTGATCCATATCACTGCTGATCCATATCACTGCTGATCCATATCACTGCTGATCAATATCTGCTGATCCATATCACTGCTGATCCATATCAGCGATCCATATCACTGCTGATCCATATCACTGCTGATCAATATCACTGCTGATCCATATCACTGCTGATCAATATCACTGCTGATCAATATCACTGCTGATCCATATCACTGCTGATCCATATCACTGCTGATCAATATCACTGCTGATCAATATCACTGCTGATCCATATCACTGCTGATCAATATCACTGCTGATCCATATCACTGCTGATCCATATCACTGCTGATCAATATCAGCTGATCAATATCACTGCTGATCCATATCACTGCTGATCAATATCAGCTGATCAATATCACTGCTGATCAGTATCACTGCTGATCCATATCACTGCTGATCCGTATCACTGCTGATCAGTATCACTGCTGATCAATATCACTGCTGATTACTGCTGATCAGTATCACTGCTGATCCATATCACTGCTGACTGATCAATATCACTGCTGATCAATATCACTGCTGATCCATATCACTGCTGATCAGTATCACTGCTGATCAGTATCACTGCTGATCAATATCACTGCTGACTGATCAATATCACTGCTGATCAATATCACTGCTGATCGATATCACTGCTGAATGATCAATATCACTGCTGACTGATCAATATCACTGCTGATCAATATCACTGCTGATCAATATCACTGCTGATCAATATCACTGCTGACTGATCCATATCACTGCTGATCCATATCACTGCTGATCCATATCACTGCTGATCAATATCACTGCTGATCCATATCACTGCTGATCCATATCACTGCTGATCCATATCACTGCTGATCCATATCACTGCTGATCAATATCACTGCTGATCCATATCACTGCTGATCAATATCACTGCTGATCCATATCACTGCTGATCCATATCACTGCTGATCAAATACTTCATATCACTGCTGATCAATATCACTGCTGATCCATATCACTGCTGATCAATATCTGCTGATCAATATCACTGCTGATCAATATCACTGCTGATCAATATCACTGCTGATCAATATCACTGCTGATCCATATCACTGCTGATCAATATCACTGCTGATCAATATCACTGCTGATCCATATCACTGCTGATCCATATCACTGGATAATATCTGCTGATCAATATCACTGCTGATCAATATCACTGCTGATCCATATCACTGCTGATCAATATCACTGCTGATCAATATCACTGCTGATCCAATATCACTGCTGACCATCTGCTGATCAATATCTGCTGATCAATATCACTGCTGACTGATCAATATCACTGCTGATCAATATCACTGCTGATCCATATCACTGCTGAATGATCAATATATATCTGCTGATTGATCGATATCTTTGCTGACTAGGGATGCTCAATATTGGCTTTTCTGCCGATATCCGATATTCCGATATCTGCAGGCTTTTTACACCCGAACTGTTGTTAGGTAACAACTTATCTCCTGTTGTGGGATTAACCCTTTAAGCGCCAAAGTCGCAGAATTGCGACAGAACACGTCATAATATGCAAATTAGATGTGGACATTTACTCCCTAGATAAACTTTAGTTCATTCTCAATATTTGTCTCATTTACACTTTGTCTCTATCTCAAACCACTTAGAAATTTAGTCACAATATTTTTAAAAATAAAACCCGGCGCCTAAAAGGTTAACACATGATGCCTAATTTTATTGTGATGCCCCACTGGATGCATACATAAATGCAACATGGCTTTCCAAATGTAAACACTGTCTGTGCAAAATAAGAGAACAACTTCAACTTTCATTGTATTAATACTGAAAGGAGCGCTAACGCTAATTGCTTGCTAAGCGCTAGCTTTGGTTAATGTGTTTAATTGTATTATTCACCTGAAGGAGTGCTAATGTAAATTCTAAGCCAATTGTTAGTTTGGTTGAGGAACAGCTCAGAGCAGGGTCAAATATTAAAGGTGCATTGCACTTATTTTGTGTTAATATTAAAATCATTCAGCTTTAAATTGTTTGCTTGTTAGCCACGGTTAGCAACCAACCAGTCTAGTGTTGTTGTTGTTGTTATACGTCACCTAGCTCGCGCCGGTAAACGTCCCATGCTGCGTTCATGCAGGCTCGGAAAGGCTGAAACCTACAGAACAAACATCGGTTATAAAAACCTGATACCAATAATTCCCGATATTACATATTTTAGTGAATATTGGCCGATATTATCGGAGGGACAATATTATCAGACATCCCTACTGCTGACTGATCAATATATATCTGCTGACTGATCAATATCACTGCTGATAACAACAATAACACAACTATCGTAAAACTTCCAATAGCTGGAGGTCTCCAATAGAGGCTGGTCTCCATTAGAGGGAGGTCTCCATTAGAGGCTGGTCTCCAGTAGAGGGAGGTCTCCATTAGAGGCAGGTCTCCATTAGAGGGAGGTCTCCATTAGAGGCTGGTCTCCAGTAGAGGGAGGTCTCCATTAGAGGCAGGTCTCCATTAGAGGGAGGTCTCCATTAGAGGGAGGTCTCCATTAGAGGGAGGTCTCCAGTAGAGGGAGGTCTCCATTAGAGGCTGGTCTCCAGTAGAGGGAGGTCTCCATTAGAGGGAGGTCTCCATTAGAGGCTGGTCTCCAGTAGAGGGAGGTCTCCATTAGAGGCTGGTCTCCAGTAGAGGGAGGTCTCCATTAGAGGCTGGTCTCCAGTAGAGGGAGGTCTCCATTAGAGGCTGGTCTCCAGTAGAGGGAGGTCTCCATTAAGGGAGGTCTCTGAGGTCTCCATTAGAGGGAGGTCTCCAGTAGAGGGAGGTCTCCATTAGAGGGAGGTCTCCAATAGAGGGAGGTCTCCATTAGAGGCAGGTCTCCATTAGAGGCTGGTCTCCATTAGAGGGAGGTCTCCATTAGAGGCTGGTCTCCAATAGAGGGCAGGTCTCCAATAGAGGGCAGGTCTCCAATAGAGGGAAGGTCTCCAATAGAGGGCAGGTCTCCAATAGAGACTGGTCTTCAATAGAGGGAAGGTCTCCAATAGAGGGCAGGTCTCCAATAGAGACTGGTCTCCAATAGAGACTGGTCTCCAATAGAGGGCAGGTCTCCAATAGAGGCTGGTCTCCACAGATATAAACATTCAACCTTCTGTCCGTATGGATTCTGCACATCGTTGGTTCTGTAGATTCTCCAACACTAAAACACCTGGTCTGTTATTATCAGAGTTACAGTAATATAAAGATAATGATGATAATAATAAATACATATATATATATATATATATATATATATATATATATATATATATATATATATATATATATATATATAGTAAGAATAGAAGAACACCTTACTGACATTAACACACCTGATACTGGAACAAAGTCTGAGACACACACACGTTCAATAACTGTATTTCATTGTCCTCCACAGACGTCCAGCAGCTGTTGGTAGTTAAAGAAGAGGAGCAGCAGAGGACAGGGGACCCACCACAGCTTCCACACATTAAAGAGGAGGAACTCTGGACCAGTCAGGAGGGAGAGCAACTTGGAGGGCTCGAACAGGAGGATGCTGATAGCAGGTTCATATTCACTCCTGTCCCTGTGAAGACTGAAGAAGACAACGAAGAGAAACCTCAGTCCTCACAGCTTCATCACAGCCAAACTGAAGAGAACAGAGACGCAGAGCATTTGGAAACAGCAGCTGATGGAGAGGACTGTGGAGGACCAGAAGCAGCCAGGAACTCAGATCCAGATAGTCCTTTACAACCAGCTACTGATGACAAGAAGTCACAGTCCTCTGAACCTGAGACTGATGAGACTGATGATTGGGAGGAGACCAGGGAACCTCAGTCAGGGTTAAACCCTCTGCAAAACAATGAAGTACCTGGAAGTGATCCAGAATGTCATACTGGAAAAACATCAGTCAGCTGCTCTGAATGTGCTACAAGCTCTGACCACAGGGGACATCAGCAGAAACACAATGGGATCCACACAGGGGAGAAACTTTACGGTTGTTCTGTCTGTGGGAAAAGATACTCCTTGAAGGAATCCTTAAAGGACCACATGAGGCTTCACTCAGAAGGAAAACACTTCAGCTGCTCCGTCTGTAATAAAACGTTTCCTCGGATCGGAGAGGTTGTGACGCACATGAGAGTTCACACGGGAGAGAAACCCTTCAGTTGTCCTTTCTGTGGCACGAGATTCACACATAAGACGACTCTGAGACAACACATGAGGATCCACACAGGAGAGAAACCCTTCAGCTGCTCCGTCTGCGGTACAAGGTTCGCCCGAAGCTCCACGCTGACCTCACACCTAAGAGTTCACACGGGAGAGAAACCTTTCAGCTGCTCCGTTTGTAAGGCCAGTTTCAGTGTCGGGAAGACTTTGTCCAAACACATGAAAACGCACACAGGAGAGAGACCGTTTGGCTGCTCTGTCTGCGGTCGGAGATTTGCAGTCAACTCTGGTTTGACCACACACTTAAGAGTTCACACAGGAGAGAAACCGTTCACATGCTCCGTCTGCACTAAATGTTTCAGTGACAGAAGCACCTTGTCCAAACACATGAGAACCCACACCGGGGAGAAACCGTTCAGTTGTTCTGTTTGTGGTAAAACATTCGCTCAGAAGGGAACTCTGAAACAACACCTGGCTGTCCACACGGAGGAGAAACCGTTCGCTTGCTCAGTTTGTGCTAAAAGATTTCGAGATCGGAGGATTTTGAGACGACACACGAGGATTCACACGGGAGAGAGACCCTTCAGCTGCAGGGTTTGTGATAAAAGATTCTCTCGCCTTGATATTTTTAAGAAACACAAGTGTGCTGGTGAGAGCAGCGGTAAGTGAGGCTGCTCCGAAACACTGACTACAAACCTGAGACCAAGTCCAGCTGAAAAACAGTCACATGATCATTGACCTGTTGTTACTAAATGATTCTCCTCCTCTCTTGCTGTGACACCAATCATTGGTTTATAATGGATTCAGTTTATTTCTTTAAAGTGTTTGATGTCACCTGTAGAGTAACTGTTCTCTGACTGAAATCAGTCCGTGTGAACAACCAGTGCTGAAACAAAGGATTGTGTTTGTGTTATCTACCTGACGATCTCACTGAGGAAACACAAACGGACTCCGCAGTAAATGGCGAGCTGATGGATCGACTGTCTTTATGAGTGTTAGCGGAGCTCCACCAGAGAATGTTTGGTTAAACCGGATCAGTACAACTGGTCATATTGTAACTAACCCCGAAATCCCACGGGCTCGGCTTTAGAAATCTGTGTCTGTGTCGCAGTTTGGCTCTGTGAGCCGCACGTCTTCGAATCCCACAAGAACGGCCCAGAGGCGGATCGTCTTCAGAACGTCTTCAGGGCGTCTTCATGTCATATGTTACTATGTTTACTTGTTTATTTTGGCCTTTTAAAAAGGAAACAATCGATGTGTTTGTTTAAACTGTAAACATTTCTGTATACTATATATATGTACACACATATATATATATAAGCAAAACCATCCTGTGAATTTCCATTTTTAATGTAAAATAACGTGAACAATCTGTAACTGTAAAGAATCAGTAATTACTGATTATTTAAAGAAAATTTCATTTTTTTCACATAAAATGATTAAAGTACATTTTGTAAACAGTTTATTTAAGAGATTAAACTGTTAAATTCATTTATAAAATGATATAAAATCAGTGACATTAACAGTAAAAGTATTAGTTGTGTATTTTAATGTATTAGTTAACTGACAGATATGTTGTATAATGATGAAGTAGAATAAATGTTGTTTATCAGTGTATAAGGTAAACTGTCCAAATACAGTTTTTATCAGTGTAAACAGCAATAATTACTGTAATCTCACAGATAATGACTTTTATTACTGTTCTATAACTTTTAACATTCACATTAAAATAATAAAGATCCAATAGGAAAAGAGATCACATCTCTCCTGTACTAGCTTCTCTGCATTGGCTCCCTGTAAAATGTAGAATAGAATTTAAAATCCTCCTCCTCACCTATAAAGCTCTTCATGGTCAGGCCCCTTCATATCTTAAAGAGCTCATAGTACCCTATTACCCCACTAGAACACTACGTTCTCTGAATGCTGGGCTACTTGTGGTTCCTATAGTCTCTAAAAGTAGAACAGGAGCCAGAGCCTTCAGTTACCAAGCTCCTCTCCTGTGGAACCAGCTTCCAGTTGTGGTTCGGGAGGCAGACACCCTCACCACATTCAAGAGTAGGCTTAAGACATTCCTCTTTGATAAAGCTTATAGTTAGGGCTGGATCAGGTGAGTCCTGAACCATCCCTTAGTTATGCTGCTATAGGCCTAGACTATCGGGGGATTTCCCATGGTGCACTGAGCTCCTCTCTTCCTCTCTCTTTCTGCACTCATTCATGTTCAATTAATGCATGTTACTAACTTCACTTCTTCCCTTCACTTTAGAACTGTGCCCTCATTAAATTATGGAATCATTTAAAAAAAATGAAAATAAAAATAGGCCTATTTGTGGAAAAAATATGTAATATTTGAGTTACATAAAAGCTTTTTATTTGTTTTCTTCCTAAATGTCCATGAAATAGTGGTCAAGAACCCCCCCACCCCCAACACAAAAATGGTTTGGCCACTGATCAAAATTTGATGTTGTCATTTGATTTGAAGTTCAGTACGCTCAAAATGTCCGGTCAGCACGAGTCCGGTGCTCAGAAAAGGAAAGAAAAGAGAAGAAGAGAAGAAGAAAATAGAGGCCTTAGAGATTTTCTAAACAAATATTTCAAAAAAGTTGGTGACGGTGAAGCTGGAACTGGTAAAGTCAAAGCTCTAATGTTAACGTCCATCAGCTGGTATAAAAGCCTGACACAACACGTTATCTCCGACAGAAACAGTTGAGTTTGGTAGCTCCGTCAGAGAGGATGAGACAGAGAGGAGAGAGATCCAGCTGCAGTCAGGTGACAGAGAGAGTGATGCGGGAGGGGCCTGCTGCCCTGGAGCGGAGGGACAGAGTCAGGCTACCGGTGAGAGAGAGAGAGAGAGAGACAGAGAGAGAGAAAGAGAGAGAGAGTCACAGTGGAGCGGCCCCGTCGGAGAGTCTGAGCAGAATGGATCAGAGACTGATCACACACTTAATTTCAGCGATCCTGCATTATGGCCAACTAGAATGACCGACTCTGATAGAGTGAACCTCGTACGTGTGATGGCCAAATGAACGCCTTTCTCAGAGAGGGCAAAGGAATTGCCAGCAGATGCAGAGGGCAGGGAATTCCCAAACTATTTGACACATTCCACATCCCACAATGGAAGGGAAAACATCGATAGGGACTGGATAGTATATAGCAGCTCAAAAAAGGCCTTATTTTGCCTACCATGCTTGCTGTTCTCCTTTGAAGTAGAGAAAAAGTCAACTATGGAAAATATATAGCATTTATTATTATATAGGGAAAAGGAGAGATCTGGGCGTGGGGGGGGCCATCTAAGATTATCTCGTCCCGGGCCCAGGCAAGACTGTCAGCTGGCCTGAACTCAGTAACTGCAGGACAAGAACCGAGCCCTGAGAGATACGGTCTGAATTTTAACTTTATTTACAAACAGTAAATTAGATCAATAAAGTTTATTGAAGTTTTACAGTATTATTTATTATTATATATTTTATATAAAGTTTGAGTTCACTCAAAAAAACACTTTTTATAATTGATAGTTATAAACCATGATTTAGCAAAAAGGATCAATAATTTATATAATACAGATTTATTTCATATAAAATGAAACAATTAACTGGATTCATTTTCATTTTCAAAATAAAAGCTTCGATCGCGTTTATTTTGAAATCCTGCTATGACGGTGTCCCGCCTTCCTCTGCCTCTGATTGGCTTACACTGATACTCTCAGCCTCACGCTAACCAATCAGCACTCCTCGTGCCTGAACTAACCAGCGGACGCTAGCCAATCAGAGGAGGGCGGAATGAGCGTCCTTCCTGCGGCTAACATGCCAACATGCTAACCGCGTCCGTCCGCTTCAGATCCGGTGTGAGAGCAGCAGCAGAGCCTGTATATCTATATCTATATTTATATATATCTATATCTGTATCTATCTGTATCTATCTCTATATATATAACGTTATATATATGTCTGTGTGTGTGCTTTAACTGGACTCTCACTTCCTGTTGATGCTAAAGGAGGTTAGCCTAGCGTGCTAGCAGGACGCAGACGGAGCCGGAACCGGAACCGGAACCGGGCCTCACAGCGGGTCGGAGCAGCTTCCATAGAGACCAAACTGTCTCTCACGGAGACCAAATGTCCCAAAGTCCAGAAGGATCCGCGTGAACAGAGTCTGCCAGCGGTTACCATGACAACGATCTCCCGCCGCCACAGCGAGCTAATGCACTTAGCTTAGCTTGCTAGCAGGAAATAGACGGAGCCGAAGGTGTAACGGAGTGTGTGTGTGGAGGAGCAGCTGCTGTCAATGAGAGACAATGTCACACACACTACTGGACGCTGTTCACACTGCAGGTTGGTTCCACACACTGATCAATATCACTGCTGATCAATATCACTGCTGATCCATATCACTGCTGATCCATATCACTGCTGATCAATATCACTGCTGATCAATATCACTGCTGATCCATATCACTGCTGATCCATATCACTGCTGATCAATATCACTGCTGATCAATATCACTGCTGATCCATATCACTGCTGATCAATATCACTGCTGATCAATATCACTGCTGATCCATATCACTGCTGATCCATATCACTGCTGATCAATATCTGCTGATCAATATCACTGCTGATCCATATCACTGCTGATCCATATCACTGCTGATCAATATCACTGCTGATCCATATCACTGCTGATCCATATCACTGCTGATCCATATCACTGCTGATCCATATCTGCTGATCAATATCACTGCTGATCCATATCACTGCTGATCCATATCACTGCTGATCAATATCAGCTGATCCATATCACTGCTGATCCATATCACTGCTGATCAATATAACTGCTGATCCATATCACTGCTGATCAATATCTGCTGATCAATATCACTGCTGATCCATATCACTGCTGATCAATATCACTGCTGATCAATATCACTGCTGATCCATATCACTGCTGATCAATATCACTGCTGATCAATATCTGCTGATCAATATCACTGCTGATCAATATCACTGCTGATCCATATCACTGATGATCAATATCACTGCTGATCAATATCACTGCTGATCCATATCACTGCTGATCAATATCTGCTGATCAATATCACTGCTGATCAATATCACTGCTGATCAATATCACTGCTGATCCATATCACTGCTGATCAATATCACTGCTGATCCATATCACTGCTGATCCATATCACTGCTGATCAATATCAGCTGATCCATATCACTGCTGATCCATATCACTGCTGATCCATATCACTGCTGATCAATATCACTGCTGATCCATATCACTGCTGATCAATATCTGCTGATCAATATCACTGCTGATCAATATCTGCTGATCAATATCACTGCTGATCCATATCACTGCTGATCCATATCACTGCTGATCAATATCACTGCTGATCGATATCTGCTGACTGATCAATATCACTAAAAAAAAAGTGGACTAAAAGTGCCACGATTAAATAAATAAATACACCATTAAATAATTACTTAAATGTGTCATTAGTTAATTAAAATACCGATTAATTTTATGTAAAATACAGATATAATTAATTCACTATTTAAGTATTTCATGAATTACTTTAATCTGTCAAACTGATCCATCAAACTCAGTGGGTGGGGCTAATGCGAATCTAGCCTGATCCCTTGCTTTGGTCTGAAGTGCCAGGAAGATCTTCATGAACTTTCTAGGTCAGAGGTCACTAACAGGCCGACCGTGGTCCGAGTCCGGACCCAGACACCGTCCTATGCGGACCCAGACCTATAATCAATTAATTATTGAGGATTCTAAATTTTGATGGGGAGCTTCTATTTTAACCAGCACAGCTTTTCTAGTCTTTACGGTATTTGTTTAGTGTAATAAAATGAATCCGTATTTTAATAAACTAATGACACATTTAAGTAATAATTTGATGGTGTATTTATTTATTTAATGTAGGCACTTTTAGTCCTCCATAGAGTACTGACAGGAACTAGGAAAAGAGATCGTATTCAATTTTTCAATTTTCAGTTCAATTTTATTTGTATAGCGCCAATTCATAACAAGTTATCTCAGGACACTTTTCAAATAGAGCAGGTCTAGACCGAACTCTTTAACATTAATTACAGAGACCCAACAGTACCACCATGAGCAAGACCTTGGAGACAAGGGCAAGGAAAAACTGCCTGTTAAAAGGCAGAAACCTAGGACAGATCCTTCGGCTCTAGGTGGGTGGTCGTCTGTCTCGACCAGTTGGGGTGAGAGAGAGAGAGAGAGAGAGAGAGAGAGAGAGAGAGAGAGAGAGAGAGAGAGAGAGAGAGAGAGAGAGAGAGAGACAGACAGACAGACAGACAGGTGCACAGCAACAACAGTAGCAACAACTACACTAATAGTAGTGACTGATGATGATGAACATGACAACAGCAACGATTGGGGACAATGAGCAGTGACAACAGCAACAACAGTGACCGTAGCAATAATAATACTTATGATAACAATAATAACAATAATATCAGTCATATTGGCAAGTGCAGTCAAGCAGGACCATGGCAGGAGGCTCCACCAGGATCGATAAGAACCTGCAAGACGAGAAAGCACAAGAACTCCGGGGAAGAAGTGAAGTTAGTAACATGCATTAATGGGACATGAATGAGTGCAGAAAGAGAGAGGAAGGGAGGAGCTCAGTGCACCATGGGAAATCCCCCGATAGTCTAGGCCTATAGCAGCATAACTAAGGGATGGTTCAGGACTCACCTGATCCAGCCCTAACTATAAGCTTTATCAAAGAGGAATGTCTTAAGCCTACTCTTGAATGTGGTGAGGGTGTCTGCCTCCCGAACCACAACTGGAAGCTGGTTCCACAGGAGAGGAGCTTGGTAACTGAAGGCTCTGGCTCCTGTTCTACTTTTAGAGACTATAGGAACCACAAGTAGCCCAGCATTCAGAGAACGTAGTGTTCTAGTGGGGTAATAGGGTACTATGAGCTCTTTAAGATATGAAGGGGCCTGACCATGAAGAGCTTTATAGGTGAGGAGGAGGATTTTAAATTCAATTCTACATTTTACAGGGAGCCAATGCAGAGAAGCTAGTACAGGAGAGATGTGATCTCTTTTTCTAGTTCCTGTCAGTACTCGTGCTGCAGCGTTCTGAATTAATTGGAGCGTTTTAATGGACTTATTGGGGCAACCTGATAATAAAGAGTTGCAGTAATCCAGCCTTGAAGTAACAAATGCATGGATTAGTTTTTCTGCATCTGTCTGTGATAGGATGTGTCTAATTTTTCTAATATTACGTAAATGAAAGAAGGCAGTCCTAGAGGTCTGCTTTATGTGGGAGTTAAATGACGAATCCTGATCAAAGATAACTCCAAGATTCCTGACAGTGGTGCTAGAGGCCAAGTTAATGCCATCTAGAGTAACTATATCTTTAGACAGTGAGTCTCTAAGGTTTTTGGGGCCAAGTACAAGAATTTCGTTTTTTTCTGAGTTTAACATCAGAAAATTGCAGGTCATCCAGGATTTTATGTTCTTAAGACATGTTTGTAATTTAGATAATTGATTAATTTCATCGGGCTTCATCGATAGATATAACTGCGTATCATCTGCATAACATTGAAAGTTAATGGAGTGATTCCTAATAATGTTTCCTAAAGGGAGCATATATAAAGTAAATAGTATTGGTCCAAGTACAGAAACTTGTGGAACTCCGTGACTAACTGTAGTATTTACTGAAGATTCATCGTTAACATGTACAAACTGCGAGCGATCTGATAAATATGACTTAAACCAGCTTAGTGCGGTTCCTTTAATGCCAATTTGATGCTCAAGTCTCTGTAAAAGAATATTATGGTCAATGGTGTCAAATGCAGCACTAAGATCTAATAATACAAGTACAGAGACAAGTCCATTGTCAGAAGCAATCAGAAGGTCATTATTAACTTTAACCAGAGCTGTCTCTGTGCTGTGATGAACTCTAAATCCTGACTGAAAATCCTCAAATAAACTATTGTTATGTAGAAAGTCACACAACTCTTTGGCGACTACTTTCTCCAGAATCTTAGAGAGGAAGGGGAGGTTAGAGATCGGTCTATAGTTAGCTAAAACCCCTGGGTCAAGAGTGGGCTTCTTAAGAAGGGGTTTAATTACAGCTACTTTAAAGGACTGTGGTACATATACTGATAATAAAGAAATTAATCATATCCATATTAAAAGATTAATCATATCCAGTAAAGAAGTGCCAATTAAGGGAACAACTTCTTTAAGCAGCCTAGTTGGGATCGGGTCTAATAGACAGGTTGATGGCTTCGATGAAGAAATGATTGAAGTTAACTGATGAAGATCGATAGCAGAAAAACAGTCTAAATATATATCTGAGTTTACATTAGTTAAAGTTCCTGAACTTGGAGAGCCACTGATAAGTGTTGATGGCAGTTGGTGATACATTTTTTCTCTAATAGTAATAATTTTATTATAGAAGAAGCTCATGAAGTCATTGCTACTTAAGTTTATGGGGATATGTGGCTTAATAGAGCTGTGACTCTCTGTCAGCCTGGCTACAGTGCTGAAGAGGAACCTAGAGTTATTCTTATTTTCTTCTATTAGTGCTGAGTAATAGGCTCCTCTGGCATTACGGAGGGCCTTTCTATAAGTTTTAAGATTATCATGCCAAATTGAGCGATATTCTGATAATTTGGAAGAGCGCCATTTCCTTTCAGATTTCCTAGCTATTTGTTTTAACTGGCGGGTTTGGTAGTTATACCACGGTGCTAGTCTCCTATGTTTTAATAATTTCCTTTTTATAGGAGCAATAGAGTCTAATGTTGATCGTAGTGAGCCTGTAGCACTATCGACAAGATTATCAATTTCAGAGGGACTAAAGTTATTATAGGACTCTGTTATATTCAGACATGGCATTGAAGTAAACACTGAAGGAATCTCTTCCTTAAATTTAGCTACAGCACTGTCAGATAGACATCTGCTGTAGGAAGTTTTGCCTAATGGCTTATAATCTAATAGTATGAATTAAAAAGTTAAGGGTTAGGGTCAGATAGGAAAGGATTATGTGGGAAGACTATTAAATGTTCAATATCAGTGCCATATGATAGAACAAGGTCAAGAGTATGATTAAAACAATGAGTTGGTTTATTTACACTCAGACGAAGAAGAAGCCAATTGAGTCTATTAATGAGATAAATGACTGTCATTGTCAACATCCACATGAATATTAAAATCACCTACAATAATTACTTTATCTGATTTAAGGACTAAACTTGATAAAAACTCTGAGAATTCAGATATAAAATCAGAGTACGGTCCAGGAGCGCGGTACACTATAACAAATAGAACTGGCTGCAGTGTTTTCCAGTTTGGGTGAGAAAGACTAAGAACAAGCTTTCAAATGAATTATAATTTAGTTTAAGTTTAGGGTCCATTAAAACGCTCGAATCATATATGGCTGCTACTCCACCTCCTCGGTCAGTGCCTCGAGGAATGTGAGTATTAATATGACGGGGGGAGAGGGGGGGGTGTGGATTCATTTAGGCTAACATACTCCTCGTGGGACAACCAGGTCTCAGTAAGACAAAGTAAATCAATATCATAATCTGATATTAATTCATTCACTAAAACAGCTTTAGAGGACAGAGACCTGATATTTAACAGTCCACATTTCATTCTCTTATTTTGTGCTACTGAGGAGTTGGTTTTAATTTTTATTTTGATCTCTTCTTGTTTGTATTTCTTGAAATAATTTAGGTGGTCGGGGGACAGACACAGTCTCTATGGGGTTTTGGGTGGGTGACTGTACTAATGGAAGAGCAGAGAAGTGTGTAAGACAGCAGCTCTGCTTCCTGGTCCCAACTCTTGACTGTCAGGTTTTAGAAATAAACTTCTCTCTCCTGTATGAGCTTCTCTGCACTAGGGCTGTAATCTCCCAGTCGACTAGTTGATTTATTGGTCGATACGTTCTGGCTCGACCAAAATTCTGATTGGTCGATTTTTTTGCCGTGTTAATTTCATCAGGTAGAAAGCACTAATTGCTAATGGGGGTGTTTTCAGAGCACCCCTGTTTCACAGGTAACAGTCTGTCTTCAGAACACACCCCTTTTTTTGGATTAGCTTTACCCACTGGAGACAGATTGAAGAAAGTACTAGAAGGCCTTGGTTTGGTGTTTGCTGATTATTTATTTAATTGTGAGCGTTTCATTTACAGTCAGTCCTCCTCTACCATGTCAAAAACATTGGCAGTGTGGCAGCATTTTACAAAAATAGATAACGGAAAAAAAGGCGAATGCAAAGTTTGCAAGCAACAGTTTGCATATCACAGCTTGACTACAAACATGGCATATCACCTAAAAACGGTAAGCTAACTTGTCTGCGTTAGGTTGCCCCGTCTGTTTTGAGTAGGCTATATGAACATATCAGAATTGAAATATTTCAATGTTTTAGTCTAATAATCGTTTTATAACTGCAGGCGCACCCGCCCTCAATGACGGTAGCATCTCCCAGACAAACCCAGACCACGCTGGATGTTAAGCCTCCTCTATCATCCAAACGCAAAAATAATGTCACGGAAGGAATTGTCAACTTTATTGCTCAGGATATGAGGCCAATTGCTGTTGTGGAGGGCCAAGGTTTTAAGAACTTGTTAAAAGTTTTGGAACCAGGATATACAGTGCCAGCACGCCACACAATCATGCATGCACTAACTGCAAAATATGAGGGACTCAAAAAGAAAGTTTCAGAATTAATACAACACAGCGAGGCACTGAGCTTGACCACAGATATGTGGACATCTCTTAGAATGGAGTCCTATATGACAGTGACTGCCCATTTCATTGATGGAGACTGGAAAGCACAGAGTCTTGTGCTTGAGACAAAACAAATAGAAGAGGCGGACACAGGAAGAAACATTGCTGCGCGATTATCTGAAGTTGCTGATACCTTTGGAATTCCAGAAGCAAAGAGAGTTTCTGTTTTATGTGACAACGCGGCTAATATGGCACTCTGTGTGCAAACACTAAAGGAATCACATGAATGGCCAGAGATGCAGGGCGTCAGGTGCGCCGGGCACACATTCCAGCTCTGTATTAACGCTGCACTCAAACAAGAGCCAATTTGTCGTGCCGTGGCTGCGTCATCTGGTGGGACATTTCAAAAACGGGCACAGAGCATAAACTGGACTAAAACAGAAGCAGGAGCAGCAAAATGTCCCTCAGCATGAACTAATTCAGGATGTGTCTACACGTTGGAACTCAACATTTTCAATTTTGGAGCGACAGCTGGAGCAACGCTGGCCCATTCCCGCATTGCTGTCTGACCCAAACTTTACGAAGAAGAGTGACAGCAGTACACTGGACCTTACCACAGCACACTGGAATGCGGTAGAGGACATTAAAAATGTGCTGAAACCGATGACAACCCTGACCGAGCTGCTGTCTGAAGAGGACAACACGTCCCTGTCTGCAACAGTACACATGCTGGCAAACTTAAAGAAACGTCACCTGGCCATCACGGATGATGACAGCCCCATTACCAAAAAAATTAAAAGCAAGCTGGTCAAAGGAATGGACAGTAGGTGGGAGTTTAAAAACCAAATGATGATGACCAACAGTGTATATATTACAGCTGCAGTAGTAGACCCTCGTTTTAAGCAGCTGTCTTTTCTGGATGATGCCAAACGAGACAAGGCCTATACAGTAGTTGCACAGCTCGCAGACCGACTGAGTGCACTCAGCGCAGCCACAGGCACAGGTGAACCTGGCGGTGAGGAGCAACATGTGTCAAAAAAACTGAAAACCGACAAAGAGAAGGAGATTGCTATGCTGTTGTGCGGAGATGAGGAAGATCTGGTTTCTACAGAATCAGGTGGGAGAAGCACAGAAGAAATGAAAAACTATCTTCAGGACAGAACCAAAATTGACTCTGGACCATTGGGGTGGTGGAACAAAAACCAAGACAGATACCCGAGCCTGGCCCGAGTTGCAAAGCGACTGCTCTGTATCGCTGCAATATCCACGCCTTCTGAACGCATTTTCTCCAAGGCGGGATTTATTGTCAATAAAGCAAGAAGTTGTCTCCTTCCAAAGAACGTGGATATGCTAGTGTTTCTCGCATGCAACACAAAAAAGTGTGCATAGTTTGTGGACAGTGGACACTGATTGTACTCTCTGTGAGTGAGTAGCCATTTGTTTATTTCATTGTTTTCCATTATTTCGTTTTTGACATTAATAACATTTTATAATTTTGCACATTTATTTGAAATACTTGTGGATTTGGGCATTTGATTTATTTATTTTTTATTTGTTCTGAGTGAGCCTACGTTGTTGTTGTTATGCACTTTATTTTGTTTCGGTTTAAAATGTGGCTAAATAACATGTTGTACTTTTATGGTTCCCTTTTATTATTGTGCACATTTATTTCTAGTATTATTTATTGGATTTGGGCACTTTATTATTTTTTATTTTTTGGAGCCTAATGCACAATTGCGCTGTGCCCACTGTTTGTATTTGTTTTGAGCCTATGCTTTATCTTTTTTTATTAAAGTGGACGTGCCTTTTGTGTTTAAGAGTAAAAGCTTTAAGTTAATAGTCTATTCCACTCTCAGCCGCGAAGCTGAGCTCCTATGTTCAGCCTCACTCTGTGCAAGGACATGCACAGAGTGGCTGAAATTATAGTGTCTGTGAGTTATTATAACATATGACAAAAACAATTTTCTAAATTATGTTGCATATTCCTCAACAGTTCTTGTGCTCATATCACTAGTTGACAAAGTACTATTTTCGGAAATCATAGGCTATGATATTGCGCAGGTGCGCATGATGCAACGCTGTCAGAGCCGACAGACTTGAGTGTGTCATTTCAGTGCAAAATAATGAGGTCAAAAACGATTTAATATACTGCAAATAGCCTACTGTTTTTTTTTATATTTATTTATATTATTATTTAGGCGGACAAGGCTACCAAGTACTGCACAGCTAATTAATCTTAACATTTTCCGTGACCCCCCCCAGTCGATTTTTAGTCGAAATTTCAGGACTTCGGTCGACCAAGATTTTCTTTGGTTTATTACAGCCGTACTCTGGGTTAGGGTTACTCGTACACTGATCAATACCACTGCTGACTGATCAATATCACTGCTGACTGATCAATACCACTGCTGACTGATCAATATCTGCTGACTGAGCAATACCAGTGCTGACTGAGCAATACCACTGCTGACTGATCAATATCACTGCCGACTGATCAATACCAGTGCTGACTGATCAGTATCTGCTGACTGATCAGTATCTGCTGACTGATCAATACCACTGCTGACTGATCAGTATCTGCTGACTGAGCAACACCACTGCTGACTGATCAATATCTGCTGACTGATCAATATCTGCTGAATGATCAATATCTGTTGTGTTCCAGGTGCAGATGAGGATGAAGGTGATTCAGGTGAGTGTGAGTCTCTGAATGCTAATCAATATAGTTATTGACTAATTAATCAATTAATTGATGTTTTCTGATCACATTATTATATTGATCCTGTTTATTGATCACATTATTATATTGATCCTGTTTATTGATCACATTATTATATTGATCCTCTGTTTATTGATCACATTATTATATTGATCCTGTTTATTGATCACATTATTATATTGATCCTCTGTTTACTGATCACATTATTATATTGATCCTGTTTATTGATCACATTATTATATTGATCTTCTGTTTACTGATCACATTATTATATTGATCCTGTTTATTGATCACATAATTATATTGACCCTCTGTTTACTGATCACATTATTATAGTGAGGCTCTGTTTATTGATCACATTATTATATTGATCCTCAGTTTATTGATCACATTAATAAAAGGAATTACAGATATATTTCGGATATAATAATACAGATATATTACAGATATATTACAGATATAATAATACAGATATATTAGTGATATTTAACAGATATGTTACAGATACAATACAGAGATTACATATATATTACAGATATAATACAGAGAATACAGATATATTACAGATATAATAATACAGATATGTTACAGATATATAACAGATATATTACAGATATGTTACAGATATAATAATACAGATATATTACAGATATAATACAGAGAATACAGATATATAACAGATATATTACAGATACAATACAGAGATTACAAATATATTACAGATATAATACAGATATATTACAGATGTAATACAGAGAATACAGATATATTACAGATATAATAATACAGATATGTTACAGATATATAACAGATATATTACAGATATATTACAGATATAATACAGAGAATACAGATATATAACAGATATATTACAGATATTACAGAGAATACAGATGTATTACAGATATAATAATACAGATATAATACAGATATAATAATACAGATATATTACAAATATAATAATAGATATATTAGTGATTATATAACATATATTACAGATATAATACAGAGAATACAGATATATTACAGATATAATAATACAGATATATTAGTGATATATTACAGATATAAAACAGATATATTACTGTCATATATATATTGTAGTTTGATTTTAACGTGTTGTCATTGTTCTCCTCAGACGTCCGGCAGCTGTTGGTGATTAAAGAAGAGCAGGAGTGGAGGGAGGGACCACCAGAGCTGCCACACATTAAAGAGGAACAGGAGGAACTCTGGACCAGTCAGGAGGGAGAGCAGCTTGGAGGGTTCACATTCACTCCTCTCCCTGTGAAGACTGAAGAAGACCACGAAGAGAAACCACAGTCTTCACAGCTTCATCACGCTGAAGAGAACAGAGACTGTGGAGGACCAGAAACCGCCACTGACGACAGTACATCAGACTCCTCTGAGCCAGAGAGTGACGACAGCTGGGACTGGGAGGACACCAGAGAGCGCCGGTTGCGTGACGAGGAAGGACCTGTGAGGATTATGGAGTGTAACACAGGAGACACCTCGTTCAGCTCCTCTGAATGTGCAATGAGTTTCGGCTACAGGGTGTACGTGCAGGAGGACAGTGATGTCCCCACTGAGGAGAAACACTTCAGCTGCTCAATCTGTGGGAAGAGTTACACCCGGGAGGAATCGTACAGTGCTCACATGAGACTGCACTCAGAAGGAGAACATTTCAGCTGCTCTGTCTGTAAGAAAACCTTCAAACAGAGAGGGAACGTCGTCACGCACATGAGGATCCACACGGGAGAGAAACCCTTCAGCTGTCCTTTCTGCGACAAAGGATTCGCCCGGAGCTCCACTCTGACCTCACACATACGAGTTCACACGGGAGAGAAACCGTTCAGCTGCTCCGTCTGTAAAGCCAGCTTCAGCGTAGGGAGCAAACTGTCCAAACACATGAGAATCCACACGGGGGAGAGACCATTCAGCTGCTCCGTCTGCGGGAAGACATTCGCACGAAAGGAACATCTGACGCAGCACTCAAGTGTCCACACGGGGGAAAAACCCTTCAGTTGCTCAGTGTGCGGGAGGAGATTTCGAGATAAGGGAACTCTGACGCGACACTCGACCGTTCACACGGAGGAGAAACCGTTTAGTTGTTCCGTTTGTGGTAAAACGTTTCGCGAAGGAGGGAATCTGAGCCGCCACCTGAGAGTTCACACGGGAGAGAGACCGTTCAGCTGCAGCGTGTGCGACAGGAGATTCACTCAGCTGCACATCTTGAAGAAACACAAATGTACCGGAGAGAGCAGCGGAGGTAAATAAAGGTCACTGAGGCGGTTTGACCGTTCACAGCTGACAGAACAACTTCTGCTCCATGTGATTATCTAAAGCGCCGGTGTTCCTTTGGTGGACCGTCTGTACATATAAATACGAACACAACGGTTTATAATTGTAGGTTATTATACACTAATAAAACTAAAACATACTTTTATTTTACATTCTTGCCACATTCTGGACCCTTAACTCTGTTTTTATTTCTGTATAACATCGGCTGCACGTACTTTATTCCAGCTGCACAGCAGTTGGGTCAGCATTAGTTGACTCAACTTTCCTTTAAATAACATTATTTATTTCTGTTTTAGTTCCTCCAGGAAGCTGCGAACAATTAACACAAATTCAACCTTGAATTCTGCGCAGTCTCACAGTTACTGTCCAGTCACTGCAACTTCAGATATAATCAATCACTGGAACCAGCTGCCTTCCATCATTCAATATTAATTTCTGCTGAAGACTTTAGACAGGAATCCTCTGGAAACCGTCAATTACTGAGAAACATCAGCAATGTGTCGATTGATCGTCTGGAAATAGTTAATTTATTGATCGTCTGTGGCATCAAGTGTAAATAATCAGTGTGTGAAATAAAAAGTGAGCCCCCACCAGTTTGTTTCTTTTTATTGTAAAACTCTTCAACAAAGAACATGTTGGTTCATTTTTATTGATCAGATGTATTGATGGTTGAGGAGAAGAAGAAGAAGAAGAAGACAATCGGCCAAACAATCAGTAATCAATAATAATAATAATAATAATAATAATAATAAACTTTATTCTCTATTTTAACTCTTAACAATGTTCCAAAGTGCTGAATAGAGATAACAAATAAAAACCAAACCAGGCCGATAAAATGACAATAAGAACTCGAGCACTGATTAATAAACAAACAAATAAATAAGAATACAAACATTGAAAATAAAAACATCAAATATTCCTAAAAGCACAAAAAGAAAAGTTTTAAGAAAATATTTAAAGGAACCAAAAGAAAAAATATTAATATTCCAGCAGCTGGATGCCAGAAAATGCACTAAAATAACAGAAAATAACTTAATAAAAACTATTTTTAACTTTAATTTGACAGAAACTCAGATTTCTCTAACTTTCTGTCTTTATAATGTTTAATGACAGATATTTACACTGTAAATACAATGATCTATAAATCCAGGTGAACTCTGCTATAATACAATAATCAGACTTACATTTACAGCAGAGTGCTGTTATTATTGGATTATTATTATTTTAATGTGAATGTTAAAAGTTATAGAACTGTAATAAAAGTCATTATCTGTGAGATTACAGTAATTATTGCTGTTTACACTGATAACAACTGTATTTGGACAGTTTACCAATGCTTATACACTGATAAACAACATTTATTCAACTTCCATCATTATACAACATATCTGTCAGTTCACTAACTAATCCATTCAAATACACAACTAATACTTTTACTGATAATGTCACTAATTTTACATCATTTTATAAACTTATTAACAGTATTAAACTTTAATTTTAAACTAATTTTTTTTACAGTTTATTAAATAATAAATATATCTGACTTTTTATGTAAAAAAATGTCTCTAAATAATCAGTAATTTAATAATGATGATCATTAATTATTGATACATCAGAGCTGCATTTAGAATCAATAAAGCTGAATATCATTAATGTGAATGTTGTATTTATAGGTCATTTTATGTGTAAATATCTTTATGTTAAATTAAAGCTAAAAACTTTATTTAAATTCAGATTACTGTGATTTATTTTCTGCTGGAATATTAAAGTTTGTATTGATTTGGTTCCGATGTTCTGATGATAATATTATAACTGCTGAGAGGCTCCTCGATCTGTAAAGCAGCTTTAAAGGTTCATTCATCAGTTTAATAATTAACAATAGTTCCTGTAGATCACAACAACAACCAGCTGAACTTTGTTTCCTGTTCCTGTTCATTTTTTTAATCATTACACTGATAAATAATGATCTTTGTGAACATATTTCTCATTATTTTAGACATAAACAACTTACATTAGTTATTATATTTACTGATTTTACACTGAAACTGCAGCAGACAGTTTTCACCACCAGAGGGCGCCACACCACCAACAAGACTTCTGCTTTAACTACATTATAATATTAATGTACCTTTTAAAATCTGTGGATGAGCTGTTAGCAGTTAGCAGACAACTTCCTCTGGATTCATTTCACACTGGAGAAAAGTTAGGAGCAACTTTTCTCCATGAACGAGCCTCAGCAGTGAATCAGTGTGTGTGTCATTAAACGAACGAGTGAACAGGCTGAAATGTGCGTTGTGTTCCTGGAAGGAGGTCAGACCGCTCTGGTTTCAGGCTCTGAGGCTCGGGGAGGGTCTCAGGACAAAAGGGAAGAGAGAGGATCAGGTTTCAGGATCTGAACTGTAGCTGCAGACTTTTCACAACTTTTTACATTTTATTCTGAAAAACTGCACAAAGTACAAAAAGAGACACATGCTGCTTTGAAGAGTGTATTTACATAGAAACACATTCCTGATCAAACCGGCTGGAAGTTATTGATCCAACAGGTCTGTGATCGTTTACATTATAACCCACTGATTGATTTAGCTTTGTGGTAGCAGCCGTTGTTTGTAGTCCTTTAACAGTGTTCAGTTAGCTGTTAGCTCCTGTTAGCGGTGGGTTATAATAACTTTATGGTCCTCCATCCCAGCAGGAACAAACATGATTGATTTGAGTTCAAGTAACTCATCAATTTAAAGTTGATTAAACTTAAAATTAAATTAAACTCTCATATGAAGCTTTTCTCCAAACTTATTTAAAATATGTCGACAGAATTTATCTGAATAACTTAAATTCATATTCATACAAACGTTAACTATTTAATTTACCAGAGTTTATAATTATAATACTGCACATTCATTATTATGAGTTGGGTTTAATTAACGTGAATGAGGATTACATTTTTAATGATTGATGATGATATTTAGATTTATTATTATTATTGTTATTATTTGTTCATTAAACTAAAGGAAGCAGGAAACGTTTTCAGACCCGTTGAAGAGAAACTTGCGTCGATGAAGAAGAATAAAAAATTAAAAGAGTGACGAGTGGAAAGCTCACACTGCAGCTGGTTGGTGTTCATATTGTCTCTGGGCGGCGGTTGTGGTCGTCACACCGCCGTCTCGCCCTGCTCGCCGCCGCTCAGTCTTTTGTAAAACTGGCGCCACGACTGCAGCGTCTTCCCAGACCAGATCCAGAATCCGGACGTGATCCCGACAATCATGGTCATCAGGTACTTGATCATGAACACGGTGAAGTCTGGCGTCAGTGATGCAAAGTTTCCGGCCGGGCATGGCACGGCGAAGTGTTTGCAGGTCTGCCTGTGCCATGTCCTTTCCCACTGCGGCCGGAACCCCTGCTCGTAGAAGTGGCAGGCAATGACGATGGTGGCGGGCACCGTGTACAGCACGCTGAATACGCCGATTCGCACCATCAGCCTCTCCAGCTTCTCCGTCTTGGTGCCGTCGTGCTTCATGATGGTGCGGATGCGGAAGAGCGACACGAAGCCCGCCAGCAGGAAGGAAGTGCCGATGAAGAGGTAGACGAACAGGGGCGCCAGGACGAAGCCTCGCAGGGCGTTCACGTTGTAGATCCCCACGTAGCAGACGCCAGTGAGCAGGTCGCCGTCCACCTGACCCATAGCCAGGATGGTGATGGTCTTAACTGCCGGCACTGCCCACGCCGCCAGGTGGAAGTACTGCGAGTTGGCCTCGATGGCCTCGTGGCCCCACTTCATCCCGGCGGACAGGAACCAGGTGAGGGACAGGATCACCCACCAGATGGAGCTTGCCATGCCGAAGAAGTAGAGGATCATGAAGAGAATGGTGCAGCCCTCCTTCTTGGTGCCCTGGGCCACCATCTTGTAGCCCTCTTGGTTGAACATGTCCACGCACACGACTCTGTCCTCCAGCAGGAAGCCGGCGCCGTACGCCACCGCCACCATAAAGTAGCACCCTGACAGGAAGATGATCGGCCTCTCCGGGTATCGAAACCGTCTCATGTCCACCAGGTACGTGA